CTGCGGTTTTGTTGGTAATACAAATAAGCATCCAGCATCCCCTTAATGGACAAACTTCCGACAGAGCTTTTGTCATCTCATTCTCGCCACATATAGTCTGTTTCATTATCGGAATATGTATATCGAAATTAACGAGTTTGTATAGATAGTTTATGTACGAAAGAGAAAGATTCGATCAGCCAATAATTTTGTGCCTCGATACAGATGCGTTTGCGATAATCCGTATGACGTGGAATTAATTCCAGATATTACTTCTTTTTATTGCAGTTGTTGCAGTTATTGCAGTTGAAATAAGATTAATTCTTTCGCAGATATTAATTCCTGAAAATTACGATTTATCTTGAATATTTTTGTCAGCATATTCAAAATTTTTTTTCTAAAAATGGCGTCCTTTGCATCGTGTCATATCATTTATTTAAATAATCTTAAGTTTAACAAAGTTAGAAATATTTGATGAGCTTTATGGTCAATTATAATCGCCTCGATAAGATTTCACGATATCGTGGACGTATCCAAAGGGCTTTTAAATGTAAAAACCTAATATTTTTCTCATTTCAAAATCAAGAATAAGGAGACATTCTAAGCTTTAAAATAAATCTAAAAGAGCTAAAATTTATTAACACAAAAAAAATTTGCTATTTGTTAACAGAATTGAGCAGCCTCTCTCGAAAGGAAAAAAATCCTGCCCATTCTGCGCGATACCTCCAAATTTTCTTGAAATAAAATCGAGCATTACGTCCTGTAATAATCGGACGAGGCTTGCGACGGAGGATTTTATAAATCGTACATCTCGAGTTTCGTGGTCGTGTGTGTCGGATCGCGATTTTCGATACGCGGCCATCCCGCGGTGTTTTTAAAAGGGAAGAGCCGGGACTCGTTCAAGGCGAGCCACATGCCACCGCAATTAACGGCCCGATATTTCATCTGGAAAACAAGGCGAAACAGCCAATATTATTGCATCATGGTCGGCGTGGCAGCTGTAAGAATACATTAAATCTCGGAAAGTGGTGCAACGAGCGCGAGCGCGCGAATTGCTCTCCCGGATAACGGTGCGGTGCACACATTAACAAACCCCACGTTGTACAAATTCCGCGAAACTGCGTCGATAAATAATATATGAATATTTCTTAGTTCGCAGCTTAATGGCACTTAAATGATTTTCTGCGTCGATGCGCCGTCGTTTCTCCGTCCAGCGCATCTCGGTTTCCCTTGGCATTCTGGATGCCGATATCGTCGCGCGCGACGACCTGCGATTAATTCTCTCGCTTCTCTTCCGGAAAAGCCACACCGCACCACACCACAAAGCCACACATCGGCAAAAGCCCTTTCCAACTTACTTGGCTATCTGAGAATAAATAATCGCGTTATCAATCCGCCTTTTATCAATCCGCCTTTTATCAATCCGCTATTAATGCGCCGCGAAACGAAAAAACATATTACACACATGCATACACTTGGACGAACATACGCGCGCAAAGAAATGCTAAATATCAGGGATTACCCAAGCACATGTAACTATCTATTTACGTTACTGCGTAACGCGAGCGCACGGAGGTAATTAACGGAGTAATTAATCGGCGCGCAACCGAGAGAGAGAGAGAGAGAGAGAGAGAGAGAGAGAGAGAGAGAGAGAGAGAGA